CGGCATTTTCCACCACATACCTGAGGAGCTGAGGAAGAAGCACCAAGGCTGCAGAGCCGGAGCGAAGGTGAAGGCTAGGCTAGTGGCTAAGTGGTGGAAGTACAAGCCCTCGGTTCCGTCGATAGTGATGGGGAATGTGAACTGTCTGACCAACAAGACGGACGAGCTGGCTGCCCTTGTGAGGACGGACAGGACGTTCAGGGAGTGCAGTTTACTTTGCCTCTCTGAAACCTGGCTAACCCAGAACAGTGCCGGGAAGTGCAAAGCAACATTACAAAGACTGAAACACTTTTACAACGCTTGAGACAAAGTTACATTTTGGAAAACTATTACATGGGCGAAACACTTTTACCAAGGGCAAAACATTTTTACCAAGGACAAAACAAATTAACATTTTAGAAAAACAAATTAGCAAGACGCAAAACACTTTTACCCGTCCCGAAACAAATTTACTAACGATCGATCCCTCACGGAAAAGGAATGTACCACATACCGGAAGTGATGAGTGAACGCGGGTGATAGGTGTTGTTGGTGAGCGCGGTTAATTCGTGTTTTCAATGTGGAGAATATGGCGTGAATATGAAGCATATAGGAATTTAAGTTTTTGGTGACCGAACATGGATTGCGACCGAGGGATGTTTTGCCCGTTTTGTGGTAAACACATGAGCAGCTTAACGCGGTTTTGCTTTACGTGTGGTCGGTGTTTGGAGTTTTTAAAGGACGCGAACCAGACGGAAACACAGCACAGCACTCTCGACAGCCGGACAGTGCTAAGCAAAGTAAGAGTAGCATAATGCTAGCTATCTGAGGACATATGGGTAGTAACGCTAATGATTTTTCGAGCGGCTTCTAACCTTTTACAGTCTCTATGCTTCTAACTTTCTATTTTGAAACGGAACTCTATCCATTTCAGCAGAACAACCATGCCCATCATACAAACAGTTCATGGAGTATAGAAGCTCGAAGTCAAAAGAAGTCTTTTAACTATGGGCCAAAAGGAAGATCTAGGCCTAAAGAAAGAAAAAACGTTCAGGTAAGTTGTACTGACCGTCCTATAAAATTTTGCAATGTTCTATATGTATTTGTGTGTGGATTTTACCTATACATGAATTATATCTTTGTTATATTACTAGATAAATATAGGATTGATGGGGCCACATGGAACTGACGGAACTGATTTAAAACCTCTAAGAGGGAAAACACTCCTGTTCCCCTTCGAGGGAACTCGAACTGCGTCGGTTACGACACTATGGGAACGCCTCTAGGCGAAGCAGGTCTGAACGTGAATCCTATTGGCCTGTTGCTAGAACGGTAAGGTGTGACGGAATAACCGGAGGAGTATAAAGCACACCTGTACACACTCATCATTAGCTTTTTTTTATTCAGCAGGCGCTCTGTATGTTGTTTGAAGAAAGCTCCAGTCCTACAAGCAGTGTGTCTTACCTGAAGAAGAAGTCTACCAGCATGTCCGGCAACCAGATGTACAGAAGGTGTGTTTTTTCTTGCCCTCGGTACATCACGGATGGAGATTCTCATGAGATGTGTGTCTCATGTTTGGGGATGGAGCACGCACGGGCAGCTCTCGAGGGGGCTGCCTGCGCCCGTTGCGAAGCCCTTCCGTGCGGGTACTGAGGTACAGCATGGCTCTCTTTTCCGAGGATGGCCGGATGTGTTTTCCCCGCGGCGCGGGCCCTGCGGCCGCTGAGGTGGCCCGGCGGCTTCACTCATGGGTTCACAGCGTGATCTGTCGGAGGATTTCGGGACGGCTGAGGCTTTTTCCCGACCTTCATCCGCTGGCTCCGACGCTTCCTTTCCTCGTTCGGGAGCCCGTTCTCGGCTTCTCCCGCTCGCGGTTTTGGATCCGGAGACGCTGCAGCAATCCGACTCCGAGGAGGCGGACGTGCTCAGCGCAGTGGACGATGACTTCCGGGTGTCGGGGCGGCGTCATCTGGCCGCGCCCGACTATGACGTGCTGCTGGAGGTGGTGAATAGAGCCGTGGCTAAGCTCAACATCAACTGGCCAAACGGGAGGAGCAGACACCACAGGCTAGTGGTAGCTTGATGAAAGGTTTCTTAAGCACCACATGCCACCTCCACGCCGGTCTCTGCCATTCTTTCCTGAAAAGAAAGTACATGATGAACTGAGTAATCATGGGGCAGACCCTTCTCTACATGGCTTTCCACACCCCGATCACTGAACTACAGTAATGTGATGGGGGTTAGGGACCGTGGTTATGGGAGGATGCCTCGGGTGGAGGATGAGCTTGTGAGCTATCTCTCCCCTCGACTTGCGTCCTCCCTGGAGAAGCCGGCGTTACCATCCAAACCATGTCGCACCACATCCACGCTCATGGGGAAGGCGTACATGGCAGCGGGCCAGGCAGGTGCGAGCTTGCACACCACGGTGCTTCAAGCCTACCAAGCCAACCTGCTACAGGAGATGGTTCAGAGGGGGGGTCCCTCCGAGGAAGATCTGGCGGAGCTTCGCAGAACCACGAAGCGTTAGACGCAGTGCGAAGCGTTCCGCCAGTACCTCCCTCGCCGGTCTGGACCCAAGGCAGCTGAGGCTGCCAGGCGTAGGTCCCTTCCCTCTACGAGCTCCTACGGAGAGGAGAGGAAGCAGAGTGTCGCTTCTCGGGGGCCCCCCCGAGGAGCTGGGGCAGCGAGACGGCGCTCTCACCCTCAGCCGTCTGAGAGACGCGATCTGAGGACCGTCATCCAGTCCCGACGGAGCTCAGGGAAGACCGGGGTAGGGGAGTCTTTCTCCCCTCCCGGCTGGTTCTTTCGACAGACACCTCCCTCACGGGCTGGGGCGCGGTCATGGACGGCCGCTTTGCAAGGGGATCCTGGCAGGTGCATCGATCCGAGTGGCATATCAACTGTCTCGAGATGTTGGCGGTGTTCCAGGCTCTAAGGAGTTTCCTGCCCGATCTCCAAGGCCACCACGTCCTGGTTCGTTCCGAGGAGAACAACACAGCGGTGGTGGCCTATCTGAATCACCAGGGCGGTCTGCGCTCGCGCCCTCTGGACAGACTGGTGCGTCAGATCCTCCTGTGGTCCCAGCAGAGGTTACTATCGCTCAGGGCGATGTATCTCCTGGGGACGCAGAATCAGGGAGCAGACCTGCTGTCGAGGCAGGGGCTGAGGCCCGGGGAATGGAGACTTCACCCCGAAGTGGTGGAGCTCTTGTGCGAAGAGTTCGGCCCCATAGACGTGGATCTGTTTGCGTCTCAAGAGACTACGCACTGCCCGCTATGGTTTCTCTCGTTCCTCCAGCCCCGTTGGGTCTGGACGCCATGGTACATTCGTGGCCGAGGCTACGTCTGTACGCTTTTCCCCCAGTCGCTCTGCTCCCGGGGTTCTGGAGCGGGTCCGCCAGGACTATCTCGGCCTACTGCTCGTAGCCCCGTTCTGGCCAACCCGGGTGTGGTTCTCAGACATCATGTCGCTCCTGGACGGCCCGCCGTGGCGGGTCCCTCTGAGGAGAGACCTGCTGTCCCAGGCGCAGGGCCGGGTTCTTCACCCTTGCCCCGCCATATGGCGACTGTGGGTCTGGCCCCTGAGGGGGCACAGTACCTAGGTCTAACAGCCAGAGCAGTCGAGACCCTCCTGAGCTCCAGGGCCCCGTCCACACGGAGGATGTACGGCCTGAAGTGGAGTGTTTTCTCCACTTGGTGTAGGGAGCGGTTGGTGGACCCTGTTACCTGCCCGGTGGTTCAGGTACTTGAGTTCCTCCAGGACCGGTTCTCTGCTGGTCTTTCCCCTTCCACCCTCAAGGTGTACGTGGCAGCTATTTCATCTTTCCACACCCCTCTGAGGGAGGGGTTCTTGGGGAAACTTCCCTTGGTTGTACGTTTCCTCCGTGGTGCCCGGAGGATGAGACCTGCGACTTGGTCCAAGGTTCCCACTTGGGATCTGGCAGTGGTTCTTGGGGCGTTGGCTGAGGCCCCCTTCAAACCCCTGGAGTCAGCTGAGGCTAAGCACTTGACCCTCAAGATGGCCTTTCTCCTTGCTATCACCTCTCTGAGGAGGGTGGGGGAGCTCCAAGCGCTTTCGGTTTCCCCGCAAAGCCTGGAGTTTGCCCCGGGGCTATCCTGCACCCTCGTTCAGGATACATCCCTAAAGTGCCTTCTTGTGCGGCAGGGTCCACAGTGCTGCAGGCATTTCATCCTCCACCTCATGTGACGGCGGAGGACGGGAGACTTCATCTGCTCTGCCCTGTCAGAGCACTGAGTATTTACACTCTGAGGTCCTCCCGTTGGAGGAAGGCTGACCAGCTGCTAGTGTGTTTTGGGTCCCCCAGGGCCGGGCTCCCTGCATCCAAACATACTATTAGCAACTGGATTGTTCAGACTATTTCCCTGGCCTATCAGGTGCGCGGTTTGCCTTCACCTGTGGCTGTGAGGGCTCATTCTACCAGAGGCAAGGCGGCCTCTCGAGCCCTCCTTTCCGGGGCCTCTTGCAGGATGTTGTTTAGCGGCTGGCTGGGCCACTCCGCACACATTCATTCGGTTTTACAGTCTTGACCTTCCTTCGGCACCTGGCACTCGTGCGCTCTCCTCTTAGTAGTGCCACTTTATTGCACACAGGGGCAGGCGGGGTTTTCGGCACGGTTTAGTGGGTATCTTGTTCCCATAGTGTCGTAACCGACGCAGTTCGAGTTCCCTCGAAGGGGAACGTCTCGGGTTACGTATGTAACCCTGGTTCCCCGAGAAGGGGAACGAGAGACTGCGTCGGCCCGCCGCACCTCTCTCTCCGCCTGAAGCGCCTGCTTCATAGTTTAAGCTAATGATGAGTGTGTACAGGTGTGCTTTATACTCCTCCGGTTATTCCGTCACACCTTACCGTTCTAGCAACAGGCCAATAGGATTGGAGTGATTTCATTCACGTTCAGACCTGCTTCGCCTAGAGGCGTTCCCATAGTGTCGTAACCGACGCAGTCTCTCGTTCCCCTTCTCGGGGAACCAGGGTTACATACGTAACCCGAGACGTTATTTACAGACCCAGAGATAGCAGCACCTGATCTACTGAAACAAGCTGTCCAGAAAATGAGAACATTTAACAAGGACATGCACGAAGGACCTTATGTCCTTTTGTATCCAGACTGCTCAGAGGTGGTCCATGTGCCTGGGTCAGAAAGGCCATTTAAATTGGCAGAATATAATAAGGAAATAGGAAAGGCATATTCCAGGATTACTTTTTTCATTTGCCTAGAAAAGCACTTTAAAAGAGGTTAGTGGATCTCATAATTCAATATTTTTAAATATTCAAATACTCTGCTGAAGGATAAATAATGGTTGTTTGATTTATTTTTTCAGAGTACGATACCTCAGATTCTGATTCTGAAATTGTCATCACAACAAGGAGCAGAGCTGAATTCAATCGAGCTGACACTTTGGTGCATCTTTTTTAAACCAATTATGTATGTTTGTATTTATTCATTTTCATATAATTTATTAGATTTATTGGATTTTAATCAATATCCTGATCTGATATTTTAGTGAAAAAGGCTTGTTTTGATTATTTTGCCGTTACTATTAAACAGTAACACAGACAACCATTCAGCATTGATATACTGTGTCGTAATGTAAAAAAATGATGTAAGCTGTTGAAAGTTGTTGATCATTTTATCCGTTTCCTCTCAGGTTTTTGAACCACAAATTCAAAGTACTCCCAAATACAAACTGGAAGATGAAAGGTAGGTGTTGCACACTTGGACACAAAGGAACTTTCAGGCTTGCATGGGTTGAAATTATTTATTTACTTCTTGACTGGAAATGATAATAATAATTCATATTTTATTGGGCTACAGTGCTTTCACTACCAGGTGCATTATCAAAAAAATATTTTTTTTCATTTAATTCACAAAACTGCTAAAACTACTAGGAGATATTTCACTACTTATTCACAGACACATTATACATACATTTATATTTCTGCATATAAGCTCAACGTTGCTACATGCTATCAGCCGTTTCTGTAACTGACTGAGGTGCCCCCTCGCTGCATACCTAGAGTACTCACAGCTGCCTGTGTGAGCTTTACTTTTAACATCACAGAATAAACCTACTGAAATACAGTTGCTCTTGCAGGTGAATAAACACAAATGACACAAATTAACCAAACCATTAAAAAAAACACATGAGAATGAAGTGGGGGGTATCCACTGTCCCACATCATTTTCGTTTCTACAAAGGTACTATAGGCCTTTATTGAAGTGGCACAGTCATCCAGAACAAACTAAAAGAACTCTGAAACTTGCAATACAAGTACTGTAATAGTTAAAAATAGTAGTTTGAGCTTTCTCTTATTTTATACCTTTTCCATTCAAAAAGAAACTCAAACAAACTCAGATTTGAGTTCAGGAAGCGCTCCTATCCACATGTTCTTAAGAAATAATTTATCTTAAATTATTTAAGTTGTTGATGTGATCAGAGAATTAGCTCGGATGAACTTGAAACAGAAAACGCCATATGTATGCGATTTATAACGAAATAATGTTTTGTTTTATTTTGTTCCCTCCCTTCTACTACTACATGTTACTCAAAACTGCCTTATAGCTTTTATCATGGAGCTAATCATTGAAATATGTTTTATCATGTTTCAGAGATGCACCAGGACAATCAGCCAGGACAGGTAATAAGGCAGACTGTGGCAGCATGACATTTCTTGCTTTCAGTGTTGTTGTTTAAGACATTTTAATCTGTTTTTCAGAGTAATATCTGATGCTGAGGATCTGGATCCACCTGAAACAAATCCAGAAAAACCGTCTTGCTACAGGTAAGTAAAAAAAAAAAGAAGATAAAGACAGAAATTTAAATTTATTTAACTGATTACATGGGGAAGACATTTTTGTTTGTAAGATGTTTTAACATAGAAATGGTAATTTCCCAACAGTAAATACACAGACCTGTTTTCACCAAATGTTGAGCAAGAAGACGAAGAGCCGGTTGCTGTCAATGTGACGAATTTTCAACACACAGTGACACATATGACAGTTTTTGACTATAGCCCTCCAGTTTTTTCACTGTACAATAGTTCTGGTATATCCACAAATGAAGTCACTTTTTTGTCATTACAGGGAGGAGACGGGCATTACATTACCTGACATCGTGGCAAACGTCTCGGGTTACGTATGTAACCCTGGTTCCCCGAGAAGGGGAACGAGACACTGCGTCGGTTACGACACTATGGGAACGCCTCTAGGCGTAGCAGGTCTGAACGTGAATGAAATCACTCCAATCCTATTGGCTTGTTGCTAGAACGGTAAGGTGTGATGGAATAACCGGAGGAGTATAAAGCACACCTGTACACACTCATCATTAGCTTAAACTATGAAGCAGGCGCTTCAGGCGGGGAGAGAGGTGCGGCGGGCTGACGCAGTGTCTCGTTCCCCTTCCCGGGGGAACCAGGGTTACATACGTAACCCGAGACGTTCCCCTTCGAGGGAACTCGAACTGCATTGGTTACGACACTATGGGAACTAGATACCCACTAAACCATGCCGAAAACCCCGCCTGCCCCAGTGTGCAATAAAGTGGCACGACTAAGAGGAGAGCGCACGAGTGCCAGGTGCCGAAGGAAGGTCAAGACTGTAAAACCGAATGAATGTGTGCGGAGTGGCCCAGCCAGCCGCTAAACAACATCCTGCAAGAGGCCCCGGAAAGGAGGGCTCGAGAGGCCGCCTTGCCTCTGGTAGAATGAGCCCTCACAGCCACAGGTGAAGGCAAACTGCGCACCTGATAGGCCAGGGAAATAGTCTGAACAATCCAGTTGCTAATAGTATGTTTGGATGCAGGGAGCCCAGCCCTGGGGGACCCAAAGCACACTAGCAGCTGGTCAGCCTTCCTCCAACGGGAGGACCTCAGAGTGTAAATACTCAGTGCTCTGACAGGGCAGAGCAGATGAAGTCTCCCGTCCTCCGCCGTCACATGAGGTGGAGGATGAAATGCCTGCAGCACTGTGGACCCTGCCACACAAGAAGGCACTTTAGGGATGTATCCTGGACGAGGGTGCAGGATAGCCCTAATATTCCCCGGGGCAAACTCCAGGCTTTGCGGGAAAACCGAAAGCGCTTGGAGATCCCCCACCCTCCTCAGAGAGGTGATAGCAAGGATAAAGACCATCTTGAGGGTCAAGTGCTAACCCTCAGCTGACTCCAGGGGTTTGAAGGGGGCCTCAGCCAACGCCCCAAGAACCACCGCCAGATCCCAAGTGGGAACCTTGGACCGAGTCGCAGGTCTCATCCTCCGGGCACCACGGAGGATCCGTGTGGACGGGGCCCTGGAGCTGAGGAGGGTCTCGACTGCTCTGGCTGTTAGACCCGCCTCTAGGTACTGTGCCCCCTCAGGGGCCAGACCCACAGTCGCCATATGGCGGGGCAAGGGTGAAGAACCTCGGATTGATGCACCTGCCAGGATCCCCTTGCAAAGCGGCCGTCCATGACCGCGCCCCAGGCCGTGAGGGAGGCATCTGTCGAAATGACCAGCCGGCGACAAGACCCTCTCAGCACGGGCCCCTGGGACAGGAACCAAGTTTCCTTCCAAACTGATAGGGAACGAAGACACTTGCGCGTAACCCAAATCAGACGGAGAGGATTTCCCCTCGGGGAAAAACCCTTGGTCCTTAGCCACCACTGCAGGGGTCTCATGTGCAGCAGTCCAGATGGTATTACGCTGGACGCAGCCGCCAGGAGACCCAACACTCGTTGAAAGTGTTTTATAGTGATGGCGTGGCCTAACTTCACCCCTTTCACGGCAGCCAATATGGTGTCGACACGTGCCGGAGACAACTGTGCCCACATCGATGTCGAATCCCATACTACCCCTAGGAACGTAGTCCGTTGGGTGGGCGCCAGCACACTCTTCTTTGCGTTGAGCCTCAGCCCTAAACGCCGCAGATAAGCCAGAACGACATCTCGATGCCGAACCGCCAACTCTCGAGACTGGGCTAGGATGAGCCAGTCGTCGATGTAGTTGAAATGCGGACGCCCTGGAGCCTCAGCGGGGCCAGTGCTGCATCCATACACTTGGTGAATGTGTGAGGGGAAAGTGCCAGGCCGAATGGAAGAACCTGATACTGGTAAGCCACACCCCGAAGGCGAACCTCAGGAACTTCCTGTGAGAAGGACGGATGGAGACGTGGAAATAGGCATCCTTTAGATCTATCGTGACAATCATTACCTGTCAGGTAACAGTCACTGGACTGACATTATATAGCTATTTTGTTATGTGACATTTTAAAAAGCATAACATTATTACACTGCAGTGATGTTGTGCTAAGTTATAGTTTTAACACAGCCGTACCGTAACTTCAGTCCTACTAGTGTTTAACATTACAGCTAACAGCTGATGAGAGTTGTTCTGGGTCCGCTCCACTTCAGAGCCCTGACAGAGTTCTACCTGGAGCCGAATTACCTCAGAGGTCGTCTCCTCTCCAAAACAATCAAACCCGGTCATTAAAACATTAAAACACAGCCACATAGCAAAGTTAGCGTTAGCTGTAAACAAACCACAGGGCTAACAGCTGATCCAGGTCCGCCAGAGAACGCAACGTAACTTTTCCTTTTTATTTACCAACAGAGCCGTGCTGTTGTTTCACAACTCGTGACTGGTGAACAAACTGGCAGTGTTTGAGAGCGATGTGCTCATGTGTGTTTCTCTGTCTGCAGAATCCGGAGCTGATGTGGCCCATTCTGCATCCAGAACTACCAAACTGCTGCATTTATATGTGGAACGTTTATTAAATTGGTTGAATTTTAATAAGAGTGTGTTTATTTTGATTGATTGATTGATTTTTTTATTTAGAAGGGACCATGTGCAATTAATAATATAAATGTAAACATTTGATGCATTACACCAGAGTTAGCCTTAGGCTAATTTACATCTGTAGTCCCCAAATACAAATGCAGTCCCCAAATACAAATTATTCATATAGTGTATCAAGCTTTTTACTTCAATATATTTACTGCAAATCTGATATTAATATTTTACTCATGGATAGGGACGTTAGGCTACTGTATGAATGAGCACTTTAGAGATAATGATTAATTATATACATAAGCTTTTATATGGCTGGGCTGGTTGTATACTCGGGATAGATTGTGAAAATGGAAGGATTTAGCCGGAGTAGTGGATTGCATATAGACAACATATTTCTGTGGTTTTTACATGTTTTGAATTTGGTTGTGGGCCCAGGGGGGTTTATATAATGATGATATACAGTAATCAAGAGGTGAATTTGTGCATTATTCTTCAAATAAAGCAAGCCAGGCAGCCTTCCGTGTTTGAGAACTGCTGTTTTTTAATCACCCCGCACCCCGCCCTGGCAGTTTATGTAGGCAGCCGCGGCCCTGTTGTCGGTGCGGACCAGCACGTGCTGATCCCTTAGCAAAGGGGAGAAGTGTAGGATCACCCTCCACACCGTGAGAAGCTCCAGCGCATTTAGGTGGAGAGGCCTGCAGCCCTGCCACAGACCGCCCACCACCTGAGAGAGGCAGGTTCCGCTTCTGTGAAGACCGAGATGTGGGACGTGACCCCGCCCAGGGGGACCCCGACCGAGAGAGAGAGAGGGGGTCCCGCCAGTAGGCCAGATCTGGGGGAACGGAGACCATCTCTGTCTCACCGGGTTGACACACAGGCGGATGAACCACTGCTGCAGCC